CCCCCGCAAAGGGGGGGGAACCCACGTTGGTGGTTTGTTTTTTTGGAGGCAAGCCAAGGCCGGGAAACCAATTTTTTTTTTGCCGGGGTGGGCCTTTGACCAGTTGGCGGGGGCCCCGACTTGTTCAAGGGTTTTTCTCCTTCCCCCCATGGTGGTGGTGGTTGTTTGGGGGAGGTTTTGGGGGTGGTGGGGTTAGATAAGTCAATAAGTAGCCCGGGTTTTTCCGGGGCCCGGCCAGATGACGGGTGAGGGGGGGGTGGGGGGGGGGAGGTACTCGGCCAGCCGTTCCTCTGTAAGGTGCTTCTCTTAAGACAAGAAGTAAGAGAGAAAGACAGCTCATCCTAGACGGGGGGCACCGTGAATGTTTCGTCCAAGTTTTACGGTGAAAGTGCAATGACATATGCCCCTGTTCTCGCAATGTACATATATTACATTTCACATGTTGGTGGACACACGTTAGGGGACCCCGGGGGGCGGGGGTGAGGGGGAGGTGTAAGCAGGGTGTCCCTTGTGTTTTATCTACGTTTGTTTCCTGGACGCCAATGGGTGTGTCGGTTTGTTGCACATCCATCCTTGGTCACAAACCGCAGCAGCAGGAATAGGATCGTTTCCGCAGTGCACAAGAGGGCGAAGGAGAGTGAAACAGAGAGAGGCTAGAGAGCAGAGACTGAGACAGAGAAAAAGGCTAGAGAGAAGAGAAGAGAAAAGAAGAGAGACGATGACGAGAGATAAAACAAGACGAGAATGAGGTAGTCGGGAGTGGGGTGTTTCGTGGTAAAGCGCTGTGTTGCGGACGGTGGTGTTTCTGTGCTAGTATTATGGTACTATATTTTTGATGAACGTGCGCTTTGCGACATTTAATATCTCGTTCGCGGGAAGTCCCCAGTATAACGTACTTAATTGAAGTAGTTCTTTCTTTGTGTATTTCTCTGTCGTGAATTGATTTTCCACGGGGCTCACTTAATGTTTTGCATGGTCGCTCCCCTCTGGCAGAGAGGAAAGCTAGGCTCGACTTTCCGAGAGTTAAATGGGTGGCTCCACGAAGACACCACGCCGAAACGGAACAAAAAAGAAGAAAACATCCATGCCATCATACGAAAACCTGGCGCATGGGCTCGTTTCGGTTGCTCGAGCGACGACGCCTGCCCAGCCACAAAACGAGGCTTTTTTTGCCGGACGCGTGGTTTCTCTTTTGGCCTCCTTTGCTTCAAAACAACGGACATAGCGTGTGGGTTGCGTGTGCATATGTGCTTTCGGTTTGTTCAGCAAGTTGGGGGCCCTCCACATAAAATACTGACACCCCCCCAACTTTCTCGCAAGTGGACAATTGACGAAATGCTGCTCGAGGGGGGGCTGCGGCCGTCCTCCAACTTCACGGTACAGTGGTACTGCTGTAGTAGGCCCTCAACAATTCCCAATCGACCAGCGCTTTTCAGAGGGACCGGCGCTGTTCCAAGCACAGAATGACTGGTGATTCAATCTTCACCGGCGCAACACAGGGCCACAGCAGGCGGTATTCAACCGGCGTTGGTGACGGCCCACCACGCGCTCGAAAATCAACGTGAGATAAGGAGATGGGTTTTGATTTTCGACTTGGGTATGCGTACATGCGTTTGTCGAGATTCTCGCTGAACGATTGGGAAGACATGCATGCCGGGTCCTCCCTCGCATGCATGGCCTGCCTTTGTGGTTCTGATGCGCACACACGCATGCATGCGCGACAGTTGGCAAAATATCCAATGCGAAAAAACAAACAACCACAATCTGTGAAGACTTCAACACATCCCGTTCGACTGTGGGTATATGTATCAACGCGTGGTCTGCGTTTTGAGTATGTATTGTCTTAAAAAAAATAACACTATTTGTTTTCCAACCCCGCCGTCACGGTGACACTGATGAGGCTGACGCAGTTTCCCGCCAGACCCATGCCGTCTACACCTTCACGTCGCTCGAGAGGAAACAATAAAACCTTTATGACATTTACTCCCACGTATCAACGGAAGAGGGAAATATTGACCAACAGTCTACCGTGCCACATCGCACCAAGCCCCGGGCCGCCTTCTCCCATCGCCCCCCGCTCGCTGAGCCCCCCCCCCCCCTACACATACCGCTAAACGACCGCGGGGAATAGGAAAAAATGTAAATGCAATCTGCTTGGTACATAAAGTCGACATTACATACAAATTGATCCGAAAGAAAAAAGTATTTCACCCAGTGAGACGCCCAGCCAGGGGGTCAAAACGTTTTCAAGTGGGCGGGTCGCTGCTCTGTGGGTGGCGCTGCCGGTTCCCTGGGCACCGGAACGGGCAACAACCGCACAAAAGCCGACAGCTAGCTCTCCACGTTGATTGAAGAATGTTCAACCGGCCAAAACGAACAGGCAACAACAGGGGTAGATTCCGAAAGAGTGGTTTTTCCGCCGCAAAATGGACGGGAGGGGGGGGGGGGGGAGCGCACGCGCGGGGCCCCGTAGCAATGAACGACCACAGCGAGCGTCGTCCCGAAAATAAACCGCCCGACCAGCTAAACTTCGCTTAAAATTGGCGGTGTTGATCAACCGAAACCATGCCCCCCCGCGGCGACGCATCTTGACAGGATCAAATCGGTAGCGTTCTGGCTTTACAGACCCCAGAAGCTCGATGACTCCACCCTCCCCCCTCTTTTCGATTGCGGCGTTTGGACTCCCGACCCGCCGGGGAACGACAACTATCAGACAACCCATCCCACCACGCCAGAGAGGAAATTGAATCGAAAATAAAAGACACAAGACCAGGACGTACATTCGCCCGTCCTACATATGCATACCACTACGCATACCTGGTTGTGCCAAGCCTAAGCTTCCACCTACTGCTACCAGGTGATTGGAGGAACAACTTCAGAAAACCCATTCCATCACGCCAGAGAGGAAATTGGACAGAGAAGAACAAGATAGCAATACCGGGCCGTGTGTGCGTCCGTCCTACTACTATGCATGCGCCTGGTTGCGACAAGCTTCCACCTACCTTATGTACTACCAGGTGATGCAGGGTTATCGTGCCTCGTCGTGTAAAGAAACAAAGAAAATGTACATCAAACTTCGCCCGGACACACGAAAGAAGGCACCAGTAGGTGTCTCGCCACCACGCGCGATTCCATCCCGCTCCCGGCTGCCGGACGTACCCACCTCTTTATATTGCAAAAACAAAACATTGACAAAAAAAAACATTGTACGTTTTTTTCCTTTTGGCACAAGAACGACGCTGCGAAAAACGACAGGTCCAAGCCATAGCCACCTTCTTCGTCGACTCCCTGCCCTACCAACTTCTTATCGACCATCGCCAAGGAAATATATGACCAAGTTTATCCTTTCAAGCTCCTCGCCTCTCCTCTTCTCATCCAAACGCACGGGAAGGCGCAGCGGATGCTACCGGAACCACCCTAGCAGCCCTGGTGCTGCTGCTGGTTTCGCAAGATTTACCCCTACAATAGCTAGGCGGCAGCCATCACCTTGCGAGCGACATCGGCCTTGGCGTCAGTCCCCTCCGCTCTCGCCAGCTGCCGTGCTTACCAGCTACCCCCGGTTGTTGAAGTCGTCTCGTCGCCGTGCTTCGGGCCATAAAAACTGATTCTACCATGCAGGGTTCTCCCGCAAGGCCAAGCCAAAAATGAACTACTTCTTTTCTTGGTTGTCATCCTAAATCATACTGATACTACCGTTGTGTGGACTCGGTTTGCAGCCGGGGCTACGACAACACTAACCCTCCTCTACCCCCCTCTTCCTTTGCCCTCGCCACCCGCCTAACCTAATCCGGATGCTCCCCGTGTGTGCCGATTTTTCCCCTACCTAACCGCCGTAATCCCGAACAGGTTGGGTAGACCGACCCCCGGTCGGCTCCTTGATTACGGCACACCAGTCACAAAGGGTTCCCTATCTCAAACAAACAAACAAACAACAACAACAACGGTAGCTTTCGCGCCTCAGATACCGTCAGGAAACCTTGTCTTGATCGCCTTCATGATCTTCAGCTGAGGAACGGCTCCCGCAATTCCCACCTCTGTCTGCAGGTCCCCCCGCTCCACCTGAGTCACGTAAACATCGAGGGTGTGTGTGTGTCAGGCCGGCAGGCTTTCCCAGTCGTCGATGCCTGGTTAGGCGTTGGTGTCAACGCGAGTACAGTACCAAAACATGTCGAGATGCTACAGCGCTAAACGCGTTTTTTCTTATTATTTGTCTCTCACGGCCGTCAACTCCTCTTTGTTCCTCTGGCGACTCGCCCGAAACAGGTCGTGTTAGGTAGTGACTGTCGGCGGGACGTGTCAGACACTCTGACCTCTCGTCCAGAACCAGATATTGCGGGACACACTATCATGCAAACTATCATGCAGCGTCATGCGGTCACAAACTAAGTGCGGAGGGTTTTGCAACATTTGTTGGTGACCCTCTCTCGCCGTGGAACCGGGAAACACAGCAAGGAAGCACAAGACAAGGATCGGCCCGCTCACCAGGGGGAGGATGTCCAGGGTGATCCCGGACCCGAGGAAGCTCTCCACATACTTCTCCATCTTGACGGGCCGCAGCATCTCCGTCAGCACACTCCTGTACTCTCTCGTCTCCTCGTCCTCCTCTTCCTCCTCCTCTGCCGCAGGCTCCTCCGCCACTGCCGCAGCAGGCTTGTTCACGACCGGCTGACTAGCCTCCTCGGTCTCAACAACGGCAGCAGTCTCGGGCACCCCGGCATCTGCCCTCGTCTCCGCAGCTAAGGCCGCGCTCGCGGCAGCGGCAGCGGCAGCGGCAGCGGAGGCGGAGGCGGCGGCGGCGGCGGCCACCGCACCCTCGTCCTCCTTCGCCACCGCCGGCACCGCTTCTTCCTTTGGGAGCGGGCAGTCCGCATCCTCGTCCTCGGCGGACATGGCAATGGATGTGGCTATCTCCGGCTTACCGGTGTACGAGCTAGCAGCCCTAGACGGCTCCACAAAGCCGGAAGACGACGACGACCGGGGGGGCGGGGCCCGCCCACCGTCGACGGCGGTGGCGGCGGCGGCGGCGGCGGCGGTGGCCGCACGCCCAGCGTCCTTCTCGTCGTCGCTCTCGCCGGAGTCCGAGTAGGTGAGGCTGGCCGCGCTGGGCGTGGCGGACGAGTTCGTCGTGGACGCGGCGTTGTTGCTGCTGCTGTTGGCGTGCCTGAGGGTCTTCTGGCTCGCCTTGCTCAGGTGGGCCATGTACGACGCGGCCACCCCGGAACGCGGGCTCTTACCACCGCCGCCGCCTGCAGCGGCGGACACCGCTCTCTCGGCCGCGCGCCACTCCGAAGCCACAGACACCGGCTTTGCAGCAGCAGCAGCAGCAGCAGCAGCAGCAGCAGCAGCAGGCGCATCTTTCGGGGCGACCGACGACCCCTTTGGGGGAGCCGAGGACGTCTCGGAGGAGGCGTTTCCCGCGGTGGCAGCGCGGGCGGCGACTTTCTCCTTGGAGGGGGTCGACGCGGCGAGGGCTGTTACTGCTCGCGAGCCGTTGGAGGAGCTCGGAGCAAGGTCCTGGTCTTGCTGCTGCTGCTGTTGCTGCTGCTGCTGAGAAGACGAGAACGTCGCAAACGCCTTCGCCACCGGCCGTTGCGCTTGGGCGGCGGTAGTAGTAGCGGCCTCGGCGGGCTGTTTCGCCGATGCGGGTCCCCCTCCGTTGCTGCCGCTGCTGGATTGATTGGGAATTATTGCTGTCGCCTGTGTGAAGAGGTCAAAGGAGGCGTGTTTCCACGGCGAGGTTGGAACCGACACGGTGCGAAAATAAATGGGTCGGAGAAACTTACGGGTGATGGCACACCCTATGCTACCATGACGAACGTCGTTGGTTTGGGATTTTTTGCCTCGTTGCTGATGCTGAATCTTTGTTGCTCTGTGTGTAGGGTTGTGCATGTCCATTTCACATCATGAGCGCTGCGTATGGCAGTACCTGTTGCTCCCTGGCAGCAGGAAAAACGCTCCACGAGCAGCCAAGGGCAGCAGCCGGTGGCGTTGGGGGAAACCGGCCTGGTCCTTGGCTTCCGCCAAAGCCACCGACTGCTGCCCTTGGCTGCTTGTTGAGCGTTCTTCCTGCTGCCAGGGAGCACCAGGTACTGCTGCCATACTGCCAGTAGCGGACTAAGATACCGTAGGTACGACACAAACACCCCGCCGTACAGCCTTTTACACCTACGATGACAAGAACCTACTTCCTACCGAGATTCTCACCCTGTACGGCAGCAGCAGTGTTAACAGTGTTTCCGACTTTTCGCACGCTCCCGCGTGCTGTGTTTTATTCTTAGCTTCGCATCGCGCTTGGAGTTGTGCGGAATAATACCGCAGGTTGTCATACGTGAGATGCATGCGCCACAACCCCTGGGCGGGTTTCGAAGCTCGAGTATTATTCGGCAGGAAAAGCAGTGACGGTGCTGAAAATGGAGGAATTGGAGCCGTTTCGTCGAGAGCGTTCCGAACACGTATCCTTTGATTTCGGCATCCTCTTCGTCGTGGAGTAATCGAGAGCTTTGAAAATCGGCCCAGGGGATGTGATATCTTGCGTCATGCATCCGACGGTAGATAGAAGCTGTAGTAGCAGCAGTCCATGCACAGCGAGCGCACTTTAGATGCTAACGATGCATCGCTCGCTACAGTATCGCCACGAATTCGAACAACGTGAACACAAACGCCTGGACGTCGCGTCGGCGGCGCTGGCATTGGCAAGCTCGATGTCGGCGCCATGTGCAGAGAGTTCAACTAACACTGTTTGAACAACCAAGAAACAGCAACAGCCACGAGGCAAAGAATCCCCAACCGACGAGTCCCGTCGTATTATAGCATAGATGATGGAGCCCAGCAAGTTGAACTCTCTGCACATGGCGCCTACATCGAGGTTGCCAATGCCAGCGCCGCCGACGCTTCCTCCAGGTCTAGACAGACTTTCAAAGCTTGATCGCTGCACGACCAAGCGGTACGCCGTGTCAGTCGCACGCCATGGCCGAGAGGGTGCGGGAGCCACCTCTCTTAACACCATCATTTCACAGCATGTTTTCGGCGGCTAACCACTTAGCCGTGGAGCAGTCGAGCCGTGAAAAGTCGGTCCGGTATGCGTGTGTGCACTCTTCACCGTGTTACGTGGTACGCCGCGGGAGACAGATTCAAGGTAATTTTCTGAAGCCGCACCACTATCAAATATACCGCGCATTTCTCATGCCCCAGACGAGCCAGTTTCACGCTCCTGTAAATCCGAAGGCGTCTGCCAGTCCTCTCTTTGACCGTACCGCGATAAGCCATTGTTACTCTCTTCAACCCTACTTACTCTAAAAAAAACTCTCGTAAAACCGTAACCGCTACAGTACACTGTACCTGGCGCGGTGTAGTTGCAGCAGCTGCGAGGGCAGCGTTCTTTTCCATCCGGGCTCGCCGCACCCTGCACCAGCGGCAACAGACAAGGTCGAGCATGTCGAGGGTGTCGATAAGCGACTACACAGCCAACGCACGCGGTGCGAGCAACAGCAGGTCACGTGTCTAGGAGATACCGTTAAAGCGCGGGCTTGCGCAAAGGCGTGTCAAGCCTGTCCGACACACGTGTGCTCAGAAAAGCTCTCGACGACATTTTTGCCAAAAACGCCACTTTTGACATTGACAAGCCTCTCGTGGGTTGTGGAGCAACCGAGATCCAAAAACTCGCGCGCTGTGTTCGCTCACACCTCTACGATGCAAGTAAAAAAAATGGAAGCGAGCGCTATACCAGCAGCGTGAGGGGGGAGCCACGGCGGACACAGCAGTAGTAGCTCACACCGCCGCAACGACCGCTAAGACAAACGGGCACGACTCGTTCGCGACTGCAAGAGCTCCAGGGGGAAGACCGGGCAAGAATGAATCTCTCCAACCCAAAAAAAAGCAGAGTCTTACGCTAGCACGTCCTCGACGAATGATGCTGGGTAGTAGCAGCTGCCGTCCCCCCCGCTGACCCCCTGGAGCCTGAGCATGGTGCCCGTCATGTCCGCCAGCAGCACTCCCAGCAGAATCGTGGCACCCTCCGAGGTTAGCGTGTCCACGGCCGCGCTCTTAAGGATAAGGGGCGACGACTCTCCCCTCTGTAGGACAGGACCGGGTCGATCGTGAGGAGACCAGCAGAAGCAGACCAAGCAGAAGCAGCAGCATCAGCATCAGCATCAGCATCAGCATCAGCATCAGCAGCATCAGCATGAGACATGAGAACGCACACCGTTCGATTGATAGATACGTCGGCCCTGAGACAAACGGAGTCAACACAAACTTCGCCTAATCCCACTGTCAACATTCACCCAGGAATTAAACACCGGCACCTGGCTGCGCCGAAACTGAGAGAGGAGGTGTGGTAGGGTGAGAGAAATGCCCAGGAACGCCTGCATGCTATGGCTGCATGAAAGCATGCATGAAATCTATTGGAACCTGCGAAAGGCTCATCCCCGATGGACTGGTGAACGGATCAAGCAAGCGTCACCGGCGGTAACCTTGACCCCCCCCAGTAAATATGTTCTGTGTGCCCCCCGACATCAGACAAGAGCACTTGACCAACAGCACGCCAAACGGTAGCATTCGTGTCTTGTTTTTCACGGTACGGAATACGGAGGTGGTACCAGGGTTTATTACTATAATGTTTCCATCGCGGGTCTCGCTTTGACACAACTACAACATGGAACACAACCGTATCAGCACCAACCACCTGTTCTAGCTGAGACTATGGGAAGACGAAGACAACGACCTACTTCGTACTTCACGAAACAGATCGGCAACCCCCCCCCCCCCCTCCGCCCAACAATTCGCCCCGTGCAATCATGGCTCATGTCGACGACCGATGGGCCACGAAGCTTGCAGAGATAAAACAAAAAACAAGCAGCGAGAAAATAGAGACGTCTTGTGGTCGGATAAAGTTTCTTCCCACCAACGAGAGGGCCCCCCGCAAAATGCTCACCGCCTCCACCCGAATCCCGTCATCCTCGCTGTGCAGCTCAGTGATGCCGTCCAGCGTGAGACCCTTCTTGCTAAGCTTGCCCTTAGACGTCGCCTTCGTGGCCCACACCACCTGCTTGTTGGTGGGGCTCAGGTAGAGGAAGCGCTGGAGGTTGGGCGCGTTGCGGCCTTTCGTCACCTGCGGTCCGCAAGAGAGGAAGAGGCATCCATCACCAAGAGAGGAAAGGAAGGCTTTAAGGGCAGTTCCCTTCGCAGGGGTGTGTTTCGTACTAAGGAAACATCTTGGATATAGTATACAACGGGGGAACTTGGGTTAGGGTTGCAGGGTTAGGGTTAAGGTATAGGGTCTGCGTACCCCCTCCATGTTCCATTTCCTCACTATGGTACGGAATTTCAAGCGAAGGCGGTCCGCCTAGGGAGACCCCAGGTACAGCCGAAGGCCCTCTAAAAGGCGAGGAAAATTGGCTGGAACAGACGGAATAATCTAGTTATCCTACACTTGAATGAGTCGGGTGCCCTGTATACTGCGGGGCGGGTGAATCGGTCGGGCGCATACCCGCCATACAGAGGGCCTTCGACCGCTGCTGTATACTGTATACACAACACAAGATGACGCCCACCCCCCGAACAACCCGGTTGTAGTACATTGTCGGGTCAACACGAGCCCAAACTGTAAAACTACTCTCTGATCCAACTAACAACTAACAGGGCGACGAAAGATGCCACCCTCCCCACATAACAAGAGACACCCGCGAGCAAAAATAATTTTTGAAAATTTGTAAAAGTCGAAACGTTACATATCACCGGGGGGGGGGGGGGGAGATTCTTGTGTCGAACATCGTCCTTTTGGTCAAAAAAACATGGGTCTTGCTTGCCCGGACCCCAC